TGCCCGGGCCTCTCCCCCCAGCCCCGAACAGCCCGGCTCGAGGGAGGGTCTGGTTAAAATCCCTGTCCTCCCTCCAGCGGTCTCCGGCCAGGTTGCCCACCCTCAGGTGCCCCCCGGTTTCCCATTCTCAGGTGTCCCCCGGTTTCCCATTCTCAGGTGTTCCCCTATTTCCCACTCTCAGGTTCCCCCAGTTTCCCACTCTCAGGTTCCCCCTATTTCCCACCCTCAGGTTCCCCCAGTTTCCCACCCTCAGGTGTCCCCTTGTCACCCTGCATGAGGGATCCTCCCGGGGCACTGAGGGGGCACTGAGCTCGCCCACCCCCCTGCCAGCCCCGCACCCCCTCCCTGCCTGCGTCTCTCTGGGCTTTATCTGCGCTTGGGAAATCCCGGCTGCGTTTTTCACAACCCGTTGCTCTTTCCCCCTGTGCGGGGGGACAGTTCAACCCCTCCCGGCTCGCCCTGTGCCCAGAACCTCCCGCTTGCAGTGGAACACGATTCCCTGCCAAGGGGAAGTATTTTCAGCCCTGAGAGTGGTACAAGGGGGAAGAGCCACGAGGATCAGATGCAGCTCCCAGGGCTTTCTCTCCAGCACCGCGTTTGTTCAAAAAAAGTGTTAGAAATTAGAAGTTTTCTATAATATTAAGAGGGACAGCAGCACCTAGTGGCTGGAGCAGAGGGAGGAGGCTCAGGACGCAGAGATCCTTCCAGCCTGAGCCCTGGAGTGCAGAGGAGCTGGGGATTTAGGGAGAGGAACTGAAGGTCTTTAAGGAAACGCCTTGAGAGCAAATGGAGAATGTCACTGAAGAAGGAAAGTTTGCCCTTATGTCTGGGCTCTGTAAGTGTGGCCCTGTGGGGGGCAGGACCCGGGTATTCCCACCCCTTGGTTCAGCACTCAGGGTGTGCACGGGCAGCAAAAGGTGCCAGGATTCACCTACAGGGAGGCAGGTTTGTGTGGGGCAGGAATCAGGGGTGCACTGACCTGGGGAAAGGGGGAGAAGCCCCCGAGGAGCTGTCATGCAGAATGTGCTTCTAGCTGGCTGTGACTTAGTGACAGCACATCCGACCTGGTTTTCAGAAGGGGGGAGAGGTTTTGCTCTGCTCTGGTTTCCCCTGCCTCATCCATCCTAATCAGCAGGGATCTGAGGCTGGAGCTGCCCCTGCTGCCTGTGCCCAGCCTCACACTCTGCCTGCTCCTGCTCTTTCCACAAAGGAAAGTGACCAAACCAAGCTTGGAAAGCTGATACTGGACCCTACCTCCTCTTTCAGACAGGTACCCCCCTGATTGTGCTTCCAATGGGGCTGTTTTAATTCCTTTGCCCAACAAGCCTGAAGGCTGGGAAGAAGCTCTGCAGCATTTGGGAAGGAGGGCACTGGAGACCCTGCAAGCAGCTGGAGCAGCCAAGTGAGACAAAGCAATGCTGCCTTCAGCCAGGCCCTGACTCTTGGACCTTGGGCAGATTTTGTCTGCCCAGGACAGGGGGGCCCTGGGTGCCTGCAGGGGGGAGCCAGGAGCAGTGTTGGATCCCTTTGCTCGGGTGTGTGGCCACCTTCCCTTCCCCAAAGCTGCCTTTGACTTCCTGGGTCAAGCAAGTCTGGTTAATCATTACTGGCCATTTTGAAGGTCTCCAAGTTCTTTCCCTGCATTCATGCTGTTTTGCTGTTTTGCCATTCGAGTGCCAAAGGCACGACTGGCTGCACACAATGTTCTGCTTACCCACCCCCCAAAACTGCCTCTAAAAGGCAGCCTGAGGCACAGCTCTGCTTCACATCCTGCATTGTTCCCGCCCGTGGCAGGGCTGTCTGCCACATGCACGCACTGGGAGGCACAGAACACTTCTTGGGGACCATCTGGTGGCTCATGAGAAGTGCTAGCTGCCACTTTCAGCTGCTGCAGCAGCGACACAGACCCACGTGTGACCCACCAGCTGCGGGCTGTGTTGGTCAGAGGCCAGCACCTCATGGACACACGTCCTCAGGAGGACCCACACAAGCGCTGGCACCTGCTCTCCCCCAGCCCTCCCAGTGGGCTGTAACCATAACATTTCCTTCATGCATCTGGCCTAGAATGTGCCATGTGCCCTGCCAGCCTGCGGGAGCTCAGCCCCAGGCTCTGTTGGTACAGCCAGAATGAGCGTCACTCCTGTTCATACCATGGCTGGGAAACAGCTGCATCTGGCTTGTCTCTCTCTGGTCACACTGGTGCATGGAGACGAGGGGTTGGCTTGGCTTGTTTGAAGTGCATAGCTTGTTTGGTTTGGTTGTGTTTGAAGTGGAAAACTGAGAACAGGAAAATGGACACATCAAACTAGTGCAAGGTCCGTGTGCGGTTGCTCCGTGAGCCAAAGCTGTCCTGGGATGGGGCTGTCAGGACATCAGGCCCTCAGAGAGGGGTTTCGTGCCAGCAGAGACCATGCTCTGCACTTGCCCCACGCACAGCTGAGCCAACACAGCTGCAAAACTGCAGTGAGATCTGTGCTTATTCACTCTGGTGCATATGGATGCTGGAGAGCCAGGCAGGGTGAAAGGAAGGAGACCTGGGGTGTCTGTGGGGGGTGGTAGGTGTGTCACAGGAAACACACCTCCCCGTGGGGACTTCTCCCTGCAGGAGTTGCTAAGGTTCTGGTTTGGCTCAGTAACTCTTCTCTGAGACAATTCTTGGGCCTTCCTGCT